TCTCCCCCACTTGTTTCTTTCTCTCTTTGACATAAACTTCCTGTATTTCTGTGAGTAAATACAAGAAATATCTACCTACAAAGTTAAAGGTAAGAAAACTTCACTAAAAAAAAGAACTTGTAGAAAAAATACCCTTCCCTCTTCTTCCAGAGATTCAAGACTCTAGAAAAGACTGGCACAGTTTTTGGAACTCTTGTCTTATCTTCCTCAAGCTTCCTCCTATCTTTTCAAGCGTGTAAACTTTTTTCTGGTTTTTCTGGAGAATTTTGCCTACCTCAGTTTGACTTGAATTTTTGGTTACACCGGAATCCTTGAATGGTGATTGGCTCGAATTCAGGACTGGTTGATCTACACGTAACAAGAAATGTAAACAAGACATGTGTTTCATCTCGCACAACACTAAATTCAATGATGCGATCAGTTCCATCGGAAAAAGCAAGGTGATGAAGTATCTGCTTTGCAAAGAAGAAGTTTGAAGCTTTCCCCCCTCCCCTCTTGTATTGGTTTTGTTTCTCCTTAAGGTTGAAGAAAGGTCTTATCCCAGGCACAGTAATAAGCTTCTTTTGTTGCTAATTATCCTGAAAATGGTTGGAGAAAGGGATTCTGAAGCTATCCACTAGTTGAATAAAGCCGTAATTCCTTAGAGAACTGGCTGGAAGAGAAATTACTAAATAATATACCAACCCTCTCCAAAGGTTAGAAGTCTTCGAGTGTAAAGTTTCAAGAATTACTTTCCTGGAAGTGCTCTTAAACATTCTTGGTTAGCAACAAAATGGTGGAAATTGAATGGGTACCCAGCTGTAGACGGTCGGACTTGAGATTGACTTCAAGGAGTTTTTATTTGCCAATACAAACTTTCACTTTTAACATTTTCCTTTTCTCTTTTTCTTCTATAAAAAATAAAAAATTTTTTTATCTCCATAGGACCACAGTGGTTGTGTAGAAATAACAGTTTTGGAATGAAGGCTGACTATGAAATTGAAGAAAACAAGAAGCGTCCTCCAAAATTGAACAACTTTTTCATTTCTCCACAATCACACTTAAAGGCCATTGGCTATTGACGGGTGTTCTGCAAGATTGCATAGTTTAGCTTTAATATAATATTATCCTATATTGTATTAATGTATTTTTGTCAATTAAGACTCATATTAATAAACACCTAGACTTGCAGTCTGATTTGGAATAAAAAATATATATATATATATATGATAATAACACTAATGAAGCCTTAACACATTAGCCTTGACATATGTTAAAAGGTAAGTTAATAGCAATAAGCCAATGTGGAATCAAATCGATATAGAAAAACATGCACCTAAAATAGTTTATAAATAATAAGTCTTGTAATAAGAAGTATATATATAAACTAAATAAAGTATGTTGGGCAAGGCCTCACTAATTGAAAAAAAAAATAAATTTAAGTTTTTTTTTATTAGTATTGTATATTTAAAAACATTAGTTTAAAACAGATATTTAAAACAATAAAATAATTTATACAATATAATATGCAGTATTATACAATATATTATTTGTTTTTTATAAAAATTCAATAAACAATATGTACTTGTTTAACTACAAGTTAAAAAAAAATAAAAATCATATTAACAAGTTATAAAAAACTAGTAAAATAAAACAATAAACCAATTTATAAGTTTTCTTAAAGATATAAATTTTTTTCTTATAGATCTTATAGTTTATTTAATTTAATTTTAATTTTAATTACTTTTATTTTTACTTTTTTTTTATATCTTAAACTTTTTTTCTGAATAAATAAACATAATTACTATTTAATCTATATTTAATATATTAATATTATTTAAATATAATAAATATAAGCAAGCTAACATTTAACTCATTATATAATATACATGAGAAATGTTATTTTTTTCAAATATGTATACCTTGGTATATACAGAAAATAAAGAAATGGTGATTACCTACTAAAAAAAATAAAATAATTAAATAACTTTGTTACATTTCAAAATGATATTTATATTCCTTGATAATTTGTATTTCAAATTGAATTATTTAAACTAAATATACGATTTCAAAAATCAAACATTCGAAACGTTAGCTACGCGCGTCGAAATTATAAAAAATGATCGTGAAATTCTGGAAACTTACAATATATAATTGATAAAAAAGTTTGTTTATTATGTGATTTTTTGGGGTAATATTAAGCGGCATTTTAATAATACAGTAGATGACCAATTTATTAACCACTTAGGGATTAGACTTTATGAGGATTGAAACCGGAACCGAACTAACAGGCCTCTTAACAACTCTACTTGTGACATCTCTTTTTACGCCCTTTGACCGATCTTTATAAGAGCCGGCGTTATTTGAGATTTATAATAGAAATAATTGATTGACTACTGCTTTTATTGTTTTTTAATTGTATTCGGAAGATAAGTTAGGTACTATTGTTACTAAGCGTGAATTGAAATAGGCGGAGTATGTCTCATTAAATCATATTTTTTGAAATCGTATAATGTTTAAATTATATAATTCGTCATAACATAATATGAAACTTAGCTTCTCGTATGTAACGATGACGAAATTGTGAAGGATGTATGATCATACCCACTGTTATTAGAAAATAAAATTTACGTCAACTGAGATCATTTGAAGAAGATATCAAAAAAACGTCATTGACTTTAGAATAATATAAATACGTCGCGAATATCAAAATATTATCCAAATTTTACGCCACTGAAAAAAAAACCAAGATAACCGACCATTAATTGAAAATGAGCACAAGGGGAATAATTTTGATTTTGTTACTATTGACCATTAACTTCATTAGTGCGACCAGCAATTATGGTATATGTGCTATTAATTAATTTGTCGTTTTTTTTTTTTTGCTTTTGACCTTATATTCTTTGGGTTACAGATCCTTCTGACCCTAATACCTGGTCGTCACATGATCTTAAGGAATGGTTAGCCGAACATCGCGTGTCTTATTCTGGTATTCCGGAAAAGCATGATTTGGTTATATTAGTAAAGGCACATTGGGTTAATGTGAAAGATCAAGCCAAGTCCACTAGTGAAGCTGTCGAAAAATTTGTAACGAAATACTATGAGTCAATCAAAGATAGTAAGTTGTCAGAATTAATTTCCGTAAATATTTTTGTCTTATTTTTTATTATTATTTTTTTTTTTATTAAATAATATAGCCATTGTTGGAGCCGACGATCAATCAATTGAGTTTACTGAATTCACACGTCAAATAGCAGATCAATTCGAGAATGCTAGACAATACGCAGGTCTCACTGAAGAACAGATTGGATCTGTTTTTGATCGAATTAATGAAAAGCTGAAGGAAAATAAGATCACAAGCAAGAATTTAACCAAGTCCATCGATCAAATTAAACGTTCATATGCGATGGCCAAGGCTCGTCGCGATAAACTCATTCAAGAGGCCGCCAACAAGATTCAACTCGAATTGGCCGATAAGGGACTCTCGCAGGAAACGATCGATTGGTTTAAGGAAGAAATTAATAAACTTGGAGAAGATGCGGCCTTTTCTAAATCGCGCCTTGGAACTCAAGCTTGTTTGGTGTTGCAAGGAATTCAAGAAAGATTGGCTCAATTCAAGGTTGCCACGCCCGAACAAATTAAAGAGACAAATGAGAAGTTAAAGTCGGCTATTGGAGATGTGTACCAATCATTTAACGGAAGTTTTGAGAGATTACGCAAAGAACTTACCGATACTATCGGCTCGACAGCTGAAAATGTCGTAGATGAATTGAAAAGTCAGTTCTCCACGGTCAACGATTATCGTCTTATGACACAAGAAAAAATTCAAAACATAATTGATCGAATTGGACAAAAGTTACAGGATGGGAAGACAATCACCGTCGAACAACTTCAAAAAGTAAAGGATAGTATCGGGAGGTATTTTGATACTTTCAAGTATTATTATAATTCAGCTACGGGCCAAACGAAACAAATGGTATTTGAAAGTAAGGAAAAACAAGAGCAACGATTAGATAATATCATTGCAACGATACAAGAAAGACTTAA